AAGAAAAGCATTTAGCATTTCAGGATGAAGAGTGCAATATTAATCATAATAAAATAGGAGAAAATGCAGACCTTTGCAGTCTCTCCAGGTGATTTCAAACTTTTATTTGTCTCCTATTGCACATGCAAAAGAAATAATAAAAATTTAAAAGCATCAGTTTATATAACACAGCATAGTCTGTCCCTCAATATTTTTACCTTATTTTTTCCCACAAAGCAATTTGAACCTGATCTTTATATGTTTTAAAAGCCTTATATACACAATTCATTCAAAGACTTATTAAATTTCCATTCATGTCTCCAAGTAGTAATGCCTTCTGTCACTAGAAAATGGTTTTAAAATGTCAATAATTTTAAGGCTTATGTTTATACTATTTAATTAACTAAATGATAAGGGTGGGGGTTTTTTCCACCTTTTATTTATTAGATAGCAAGTCTAAAAAAAAAATAAAGGGAAATCCATCTGAACCCAAGAGGATATTGGTTGTGTCCCAGGAGATCATCAGGAGAACAGATACAGTGATTTTTTATTACTCTAAGCTTGATTAAATTGTAATGTACAGAAATCCTCCCCACCCCCACCAAACATTTAATTAATGATAAAATAAGAACCATGTGCTTTTAAAGGATTTAAGAATTACTTTGACAGGTAAGCTGTATTTTTATCTCACCTTTAAAAGCTTAAGTACTGTCTGGTTTAACAAAAGATAGAAAATATTAAACATTAAACTAGATGAAGATTGTTCTTGCCTGAAAGAACAGGAGTTTCCTGCAACTTGAATTCTTGCAGAGCTAATACCCTGACTTTTAGAAGCTCTAATATATCCCTGCTTTTGTTACTGTTAGAATTACTGTCCCTACTGAAAGAATGCTTAGGACCCATGCCTAAATTAAGACCCTACATAACACAGAAACATAGCAAAAATATGACTCAGTGTAGAATGAGTTTTTAATGTGTTACAAAACACCTTATTACGAAATGCAATAGATAAATTCTTAAGCAGACTTGTTTTGTAAATGAAGGGGGTGGAAATGAAAGTGAGTTATAAAATACACTCCAAATTAATGACCTTTAGGAGGACACCAACAATTTAGCACTCAGTGCCTCTTAAACTGAAAGGTTTCTTTACTACTTTTATAAGTAACTAATTCTATATAGAAATATAAATGTTGGGCAGGGGGAACTGCACAAGGCTACAGTACTCCACATGCAACCCTGGAACGTTTTCATGGGCAATTTTGAACAAAGAGATCCCTGCCAACAGGGAAGTGCAAATGCAACCACTTTTCCCAATCCCCAGAGGATTCTCAGACTCTTCCAGCCTGTATCCCTGCTTTTAAGGGCCTAAATATGCAGTGCTAGGTGTAGCTGCTTGAAGAAATCATGGAGATTTCCCTAAGAAGCGAAATACCAGGGCTTCCTCTCATGTCCTGAGGTATCCCAGAATATCACTCTGCTCCCACAGATTTGGAATGGGCAGCTTTAGGATAGCAGGACACTCACTTCAAGGACAGCCTGAGCCTAACACTGTCCTGCCTGAGAGTCTGTCCCCTCCACAGCTCTGGGCAGGAACAAATGCTCACATGGCAGAATCCAGAGCGGCACTGCAGGCCTGGCCAGTCTGGAAAACAGGAGAGGACAAGTCCTGGGCTAGCAGGAAATGCCTGTCTGAGGAGCAGTGGGAGGACAAGGGTGCAAGTGTGGCGTGGGAAAAGGGCAGGGTTGCTGCCTTACCTGAACAAAGGCAGCCTTACAGAAAATAGTCCATGGGTGGAGGGATCCTTGGAGATTCTTCATAACTCGCTGTGGTTGTGGAAGTATGATTCTGTCCTGAAAACTGACTAAACCAGAAAATTCTGAACTATTTTTCTAGCATTTCCTGAATGAAAATGTACAGCTTATAATTTAAAAAACCTATTTTTTTTTTGCAAGTGCTGACTCTCTATTCCTTGTAGCCCGTGTTCTCATGCACAGCATCATCGGCTGTGCAGCTGCTGAGGCCACAGTCTGCCTGCAGGGACACCTGTGGTACCCTGGAGGAATGGGACTCACCACAACTTGGAGCTGGGCATGTAAAAGGTGTGACAATGCCCATGTCATTGCCTCCACACTGCTGAAAAGCAGGAGACTTGGCTGCTTCTTTAATGTGGCAGTCCGAGAGTCTGGCTAGGAATGCACACAACCTCTGGGGCTTCTGATAAGAAGGAGGCTTTTTTGCATAATTATTTTGCTTTAAGATGCCTAAAGCTTTCCATGCAGAAAAATAGATTCCCTAAAATTCTGGATTCATATATTGCAGGAAATCCTATTTTCACTGAAAATTGCTATTACAAGCATCTGCAAAAATCCTGAAAATAGTACAGATCTTTAGTCTGATGAGTGGGATACAGAAAGTCCTGCAAGCTTCCAGGCAGTAATAGGACCTTATGCTCATTGGAGGCCAATTGTTTTCCTTTCCTAACATTAACCTTGTTATCTAAAAGAAAGAAAAGGATCTAATGTCTATGAAGCAAATTTTTTTGGCAGAGAAGGTGCAGACAGCTCTTCCACACCCAAACATGTTCTTTATGACAATAATCTAATTACTTTGTGAGCATAAAATTCAGTGTTGAAGCTACTCCAATAAATTTAAGCAAATCAAGCTATAGACAACTGCTAAGAGGAAAACCTGGTAACATAAGACAGACAAGATAAGATAAAGAGATCTGGCTGTATTCTACTATAAATTAAACTCCCATTAACTTCATGTAGTTCAATCAATGAGTTTTGTGGGTGCAAATGACGGCTGAGCTTGGCCTAAACCCCTAGAATATTTAGTTACAACTTGATGATCTAGTTGGTCTTAACTCAGTCAAGCAAAGACTCACAGGGTATTAAATTGCTGCTGGTGTAATTACATGATTAGGTGATAGTTTCCAGTTGTGCCGACCTGGCTACAGTAGGCGTGAGACAACTTTTTCTCTCCTTCTAAAAAGGTCAGCAAATGGAGAAATTATTACTGTGGCATGGTTCAGATTTGCAGGTGCAGTTCCCAGTGTTCCCAGCCCTGACTGGGCACACAGTGACTGTGCCTGCAGTGGTTCCTTCACTGTACATGCCCAGGCAGTCCTGTCCCAAGGTGCACCGAGTGCAGCTGTGTCCCAGCTGGCTTGTCTGCCTCCTCCTGAGCCTGGGGAGCACAGAAAGGGAGCATCTGGAGTTGTGTGCTTCCCTAGGACATGCAGAGCAGAACCTACAATGCAAGAGGGTTACACAGCTGTTTCTGTATGTTCTCCTCAGTTCTGCTAATCAGGGAAGGGAGGCCACAGCCTCCTTCTCTTGAGAATTTATCGTTGGTATACACAGATGTTGTTACTGTCCCTTATTTTTTCTATAACCGTCTCCTCTGCTCCTGTTCTCTTCTTTCATCATCCTTGACCAGACCAGAAAGGGGTAATATTTTCGTAAGAATGGCCTTTTCTTTGAATCTGCAAAACTTTGTCTACATTTCAGCACACAAGTGCACACTTGCAGATCTAACTGGTTTCCTGAACACAACCTGCACCCCAGTGTACACCTGCCCAGAGCAGCCTACTGAACTTGCTCCACGTCTGAGCCATGCCTTTCGTGAAATTTTGCTTGGGGCAAGTCTGGATTACTCCCTTTGAGAAGTCTAATTCCACCTCCTCTAGACTCATGCCCTAATCTCAAACATAATGCATTTCAGCATAACCATTCTTTCCATATTAAACATATAAAAGCATTATGAATAGAATTGTCTCACATGAAGTTTTAAAAAAATCTTATAATTTCAGCTGTGAACAACTGCAGTGTATTTAATTCTGGTTTGCTATCTGTGTGTGCATCTGTGCTTACCCTTTGCATTGCTGGGTATAGGATGGGGCAATGAGAGCTCTCCTAAGGTAAGTGTGTGTCATCCACTGTAGAGTCTGACTGCAGCCTGCAATGTGTCTTGGAGCTTTCAATTATCCAGTCCAATAAACTGCAGCTATCTAACACCACCCTACCCTTACGTAACCCCAGAGCTGTAACACTTTGGCACCAGACAATGTTTTGTTTGCTTACATGATTATGACCTTAAGGCAAGAACTGCACCTGGGTGTATGACACAGTCTCGGGGCACTTATAACAGAAACCCCGGCTGCGTTACAGAGCTGGTTCAGAGGCTGAGAGCTTTTCTGTCACATTTTGGTGTTAGCTAAAACCCCTTGGGGAAATAATGGAAACTAAAGTATGATTTTGCCTGTTTAAATTGCATCCATTCTGGTAGGACTTGCTTGTTAAAACTCAATCACCAAATCTTTTTGGTACAGTCTATTCCTAAGGCAGGGGAGATTTTCCAATTACTTTGCAGGTTCTGAATGCAACTGCCTTGCAAGGGAAAATAAGCAATTAAGTTTGCTCAAGATAAATCTAGTCACATCCCAGAAATGGTAAGATTCACATCACTTACAGCTGCAGAGAAGAAAAGTTGATAGCTTCCATACAGCTTCCATCCTTGTTCAGCAAAGCACTTAGGCATATATTTTAAAAGCAGATTTTCAAAGACACAGAAATGGATAGGTTAGCCTGTCTCAAACTAAAGGCCTTTTGTATCTTTGAATATTTTTCCTATCAACTTTATTATGACCTAAACATACACTGGAAGCTAAGCAGAGGCTTTAGAACTGAACAAACATTCTTTTAAACAAATATTTAAATGTGTTGCTGAACTTCATTCTGAAGGGAACCAACATAAAATGGAAGCTAGTTTAAATTCACTTGGAATTCTCCAATGTGAATTATTCAGATATCCCCACTTCAGCTGCAGAGCCAGTGAAATGTTTTGATAGAGCAATATGTGATATAAAGTCAGCATAACAATAACACTGTAATTGCCAGAAAGTTGTCCCATTCCAGATTTTCAGCAATAAACACTAAAAGCTTTTTGAACTATCTTTCATAACTTTTATAGTAATTTCTTCATTGCTTATAACAACAATCTATAACCGAAAACTTACCATACAGAATTAATTCCCTCTTCACTTTCAGATGCAGAGTTTTGTTGTAGAGGCTGTGAGATCTTGTTTAAGCTCCAAGTTCTGATCTGTATCCCATCATTGTACTTGAAAACTGTTTTCTGTGGGGAGAGAAGTCCTCATTAGCAGACATTCTTCCTCGTGACAGAGCCGGGCAAAATAAAAAGCAAATGTGCACTGCAGCAAAGGCAACAATGGCACACATGCCACTAATCTCAAATTCTAGCACTGCTTCAATATTCAACAGTGTTTTCAGCTATACCAGGACAGGAGTTGCAAGCTAACCAATAACATTTGGCAGACCCACGGGTGATTTTACATTTCTCTCTCAAACACAGGCACTGGGGTGTGGGTGTGTGGGCCAGGCTGTCCTGAGCCGAGGAGCCCATGGCGGGCCCCTGACAGTGAGCATTGGATTTGCAATGGCAGTGACCGTGGCAGTGTATGTGACTGGGGGTGTCTCTGGTAAGTCACTTGTTTTCTCATATAGCATTTATTGCTAGGGTTTTAAGGCTCCCTTGTTAAAGTACTTCCATTCCATGGTATAAACAATGCAACAGCAAGCACTGTTACAGCAGAGTCACGTCAGCCTTTTGCTAGTAAATCCTTTATATTGTTGTTTCCTTCTATTCTTTGTGTTTGACAAAATCTTCCACCAAATTCTTGTCTGAACTACAGTGTGCAGCCTTGGCAGACCTCTGGCTTTTACAGAAAGTATTCTGTGCAAACCAGAAATCTGCTTGGTGTTGCTTAGAAAATTCTGTGCGTAGAGATGATCCTGGACAGCACAGGCACCGCGCTTAAAGAACGAACCGTGACAAGCAATCCAGCAGCCACCAGATAAAATGGTGGCCAGCTACCTAGAGGGTAGAATGGCCCACTAATGGGTGTAATGAGCAGGGTTCACCTTGCAGAGTGCAATTTGTCTCTTCATGTCTGAAGACAGGCAATAGCAAGTCTGCTATTGCAGAAGCAGCAAAAGATTCAGTACTAGAGACACATTCAGTGATGCACTGTCAATGTAATGCCACTGAGCCTTTGTTTCTGATCTCCCTCAACATTGGTCAGGAATCTTTCTTTTGCCTGTAGCTGGGCTAACTTATCATTGTCTACACGTGCCACATGGGATGCTGCTTCCTCTCCTATTTCCATCATTGAGTTTGACCAAACTAATATCAGAAACATTAGCACAACTGCTCTTAACGTTTAAATTCTCCCTTTAAGATAGAAAATGATGGGCCGTAACAATAAACAGTGTTGTGCATTATAATACACAATACTTCATGTTCTATGCAGAGTATATATTGAGAAATATTTAAGAAAATGGTGCCCTTGTGCTCCAGTTCTCACAGAGGCATTTCTTGCCCTTCAAAAAGAGGGTAAAGTTGGTCCGGACAAACTTCTGTAGGTATAACCTGGCCATTATAAACAGTTGCTGTAGCAGAAATTACTGGGGCTATTTCTCTTCTCTTTCACAAATACTTTTACAGAGGCATCAGGAGGTTTCCAAGTTCACATTAGAAAGTGCTCAAGGTTCTACAAAACAGGCAGTCTTACAACTGTCATTGAAACAGAGCAGAACTGTGCCTTAATACCACACAAAGTTAATTCAGCAGCACAATCTTATTACCTGAACAACTTTAAACTACAGCTCTTGGTTTACATATAGGCAGGGAAACTCTTCTAATGCAGTAGCATGAAAACAAACCTGTGAAGACCTGTCCTACATTTGCATCTTTAAGGGATATTCATCTCCATTATTACGTAGAAAATTAGAGTTCAATCCCAGCAGGGCAGAGCAGTTGCAGATGTTGCAGTATTGTGCTTCCTGTGTTTCTCCCATGACAAAGGATTCTGCACACAGTGCATTTTCTCTGTGAAGGAAGAGGAACAGATATTTCAACAGGCTGTAGTTATCCAACACATGATGACTATGTGAACACTTCAGAATACCAGTTCCTAATATAGAATTTGTTAGCAATTTCTGTGGCTCTTTGGCCATGAAGTCTCATGTTTAAGTACTGCTAAAATATTTTGCATCAGTTCTTTATGAAATTCCAAATTCATGGTAACAAAAAGTACAGTCTGCACGCTTGGTGAATTTTAGCTTTTTTACTTAGGAAAATTCTCCTTTTTACTTTTTCTCCATCTAATTTTCCTCAATGTCTAGATAATTTTCCACTATTTTTTCCAATGTAACATTCAAACCCATGACTGTGATCACTGTGACTACAAAAGAATGGGGAACACACTGTCCAAAGTGGACTTTTTTTTTTAAACCAGGACACTAGCAGTGGTACAAGAACCAAGAATCTTTTAACTCCCTTGTGTCAGCATGAGAGCCTTCAACTAGACTTTTCCTTTCCAGATTTCACGTTAATCAGCCATTGCTAATATTATTATGACTTGTCCTGGCCATCATAATCACCTGTATTATATACAGGTAGGGAACAATATCAGGTGTTGAAAGAAACAAAAATTATTCATTCCAGCCTGAGAAAGGAACAAAAGACAAGACAACAATTAATCAAAATTCACATGAAGGGCTGTTAAACAAGGTGCCATCTATCTATTTTCTCCGTGCTGAAGAATTTGAAACACAGTGAGGAATTCAAAATTAATTCAAGACTGATGCTACTAGGTCAGAGTTTTGGAAATGGTACAAAGAAGGTTTTATCCAACTTGTTATCTATGTTTGTCAGTTCATTATGTATCAAAGGTGCCTGGATTTCATAAGATAATGACTCACTGACCTGAAGTGCAAACAAACACAGAAACTGTACATAGAGGCCCTTTCTCCATCACTAACCTTTGACAGATAAAGGACATGATCTTTCAGGTTTTTTACCAAATAAAAGGGCCATTTTTTCTGATATCCATCCAGGCTGAAATGAGACTTCACCTGGAAGATAAGCAATGGATCCTATGTCCTTGCAGTATTTTTATTGTGGAGTGCTTTTTCATCTGTTTATTTATTTGCCAATTCGTATTTCTTAAAAAGCAGCTACATATTTGTAAACAATGAAGTTTTCCAAAAGCACCCAACACTTTTGTCCCATGTAGATAAAAAGTTTTGAGGGAAGTAAATATCATGTGACATAATAAATATATTTTAAAAACTAAAATTATCACAAGGAATTCCATTGTTACATCTTTTTCATGTATGAGTTCAGATGTAGCTACTCCTGAATAAAAAGGAAGGAAGTTTCACAGGAAAAAGAACTCTGTTTCAGCACAGCTGCTTTATCAGTTCCTTTATTGTGGACCTTCCTGGAGAGCGCAAGGGTTTGATGAAAGCCTGTGATGTAGAACTATGCACTGCTGTCCCCAGATCCCATGGAGCTCCCCAACAGCCAGCACGAAGCTGGACAGCCCTAACATAATTTTATTTTGTGTTTGTGAAAACTGAGTTCCTAAGTAACCCCAGGTTGAAGACAGGGTCATAAACATGACTTAAATCCAGGGTACTCCAGATCTGCCTCAAGATACGTGATAAGCCAGGGATAGTCCTTAATTGTAACACATTCTCGTGAAACCCAATTAATGTTCTGCTGCCCCAATCCTACCCTGAAAGTACAAAGCCAAAGGCCTCAAGGAGAGAGAATATGTTCAGAATGAGGGACCCTGCCCTCACAACTGATAGGGGAGATTTAGGTTTTTCTAGAAAAGTTGTCTGTAGCTCTATAGATTACAGACTGCAGGACAGCAGTTTGATAAACACCACAGTCCACAAACATCAAGAACAAAGATGGAGCTTGGTGGCTTTAGCCCTCCCTCCTCTAATATCATCCAGCTTGTTTCAGTTTCATTCCAGTCAACATTTAAGTGCAGAATAACATCTAGAAAAGCATGTACTAGTCCTGTGCTCAGACGTGCCCGCATTTTTACAAATCCTTCACCTATTCTCATGTATCTGATTCATCGACGTGACTTATTTGGTGATTTATTTTTCAGGTGGTCACATAAACCCAGCTGTTTCATTAGCCATGTGCGTGACTGGAAGATTAAAATGGACCAAATTACCAATTTACATATTAGCACAACTCCTGGGAGCATTTGTTGGAGCAGCGGCTGTCTTTGGGATTTATTATGGTGAGTACACCTTAGACATGTTCAGAGGACAAACTAGAGGTCAGGCAGTCTCCAAGGCCCCAATTTCTCAATGAATGTCAAGCAGGAAGAGGACTCTTGTTCAGACAGGGCTAATGGCAGGACTGAAGCTAAAATCATAAAGAAGAAAGGGAGAAGCATAAAGAGTTTGAAGGGAAAAACAATGGCTTGAACATTCCAAGTATCCTACAGATTTACTGAAACACTAATGCTCCAGGAAATGTTCTGATATTTAGAAAAATTATTCATGGGAAATCAGATACTCTGAGATCATGTATTTCTCAGTGAGGATTTTAAATTACTTAATAGCCAGGATACAGGGCTATCCATCTTCCAAGCAAATTAGAAACATTAAAGACCTGCTACAAGTGCCTGTAGGCAAATATCACCAACATCGTTCATTGAGGGTACAGGATATGAGATCAAGTCCCTCCTGACCAAACTTCAGACCACCCTAGAGAGGTGGCTCTCCAAGGCAATGAACTCCAGGTAGAGTGATAAAGAGGTCACATATTAGAGAGGGAAAAGAAAAAAGATTACCCTTATCCTTGAGGCATGGTTTTTTCCCACAGTGTGCCACAAAAGGAAAAAACTCAGTAACAGACTGACTGACTGGATGAATCCATTCAGTCAGATCAGTTATTCAATCCCCTGCTCCAAAACTTTGCTTCTACTGGCCCAGCCCGTCTCCTCCAAAGTCTCTCTCCTATGGGCACAACATCTGCAGATGGTGCTGGGTCAAGGTGCAATAGAGGGAAAATACAAATGGAAATGATCATTATTTGTCAGCTCAGGGCTCAGTACCCACAGTAACCCTGAGGAGAAAAATCTTTAGGAACCATCATAATTGGTTTGGGGTTGGTGGCTTTTTTTTGTTTTTAAAGTTAGTGTTAGAATTTGGAAACTGTGGGGCTCCAGAACAGGATTTCCATGTCAGTTTGAGCTGTCCTCAAGTCTGACAGCAGAATTACATCTGTGGCCAGGATGCAGCAGTGTGTCAATATGATATGGGGCTGGAGGTGGAACCACTGTTCTGCTAAAAGGGCAGCAATAAGGTAGGGAGCCCAAATAGGGAACACAGGGCTGGGGTTAGGGTTGGAGACATCTTCCTGATGTTCAGGAGTGTGGGATTTTCTCATCTCCCTATCTCTGCTCAAGTACTTTGCCCTCCTCTTGTTATTATTAAATCTCAAACCTCTTCTGTACTTTTTCCTTCTTGCAACTTGCAGGATTGTCTTGTACTCATTGAGGTCCAGTGAAAACTCTGTAGTTGAAAAACAGAGAGTGGAGCTCATCCTTTTATTTTTTCTTAGTAGTTAAGTGCAAAAAAATAATCCAACACTACAAATGAGAGCCTGATCGAAGTAAACAACTAAATATTCTCTGCATCCATGTTGTGCCTTAAGCAAAGCTAGAAAAAACACAGGAGCAAGGAGAATTAGATTTTTCTGTTAGCTTCAGGAGACAGGGAGCTGTTTCTTTACTTGCAAGTATCATCTCATCACTGGATCCGCTAATAAAATAATGGATTAGAGTTTGTTTTCCATGTCTGTCTATGGAGATTTGAGTGCTTCATCTCAGTGTCCTCTTATTTCTAAATACTTATTTCTAAAATTGCACAACTGTCAGATGGAATAACAATAATTCCTGGTGGCTGGGTATCCACAACTGCACAGCTGGGACATTAGGCACTGCTTGGGGCATCTTAGCAAGTGTAGCAACTCTTACAGAACAATGCAACTGTATTCAGAATCAGAAAATGCTCTGAGTTTGGAGCAGTGGGCAGGGAAAAACCAGCCCATATTGAAAGTTGTGATTTATAAAATGAATACTTCAAGGTACAGGAGGAGAGATGAGACAGGAGGGTAGGATGAGTACATCACCCCAAATCCATTAACTGTGCTCCCAGAAAAAGAGAGCACAGGATCACAGAACAGTTTGGGTTGGAAGGGACCTTAATAATCAGTTTCAGCTGAGAATGAGAAGTGCACAGACCTATCCCATACATTCTAGTCCTGGAAAACCTGGTGTCTATGGAGAAGTGCAGGCAGTTACTGGCTGTTGTCTACAGATGCCTTTATGGATTACAGCGATGGGAAACTTGAAGTCACAGGACCTAATGCAACAGCACATATCTTTGCAACATACCCAGCCCCATATCTGTCCCTCATGAATGGATTTGCAGATCAGGTAAGTGCACTTGCTGCCTTAATTCTGCAAATTAAATGTACTAAAATCTGTGAGACCAAGCAGTAAAAAAACACATAGATCTAAGGAGCATTCTGAACCTTAGTGTTTCAGTCATATGTCCCTGTGTAAAATACAATGAGAATGCAATGCTGTTCGTGGGGAGGTTACCTTTTAGTAATATTTTACAAGCAAGACAATTTCAGGTTTTTCTTTTCACGTCATCTTAATTGTCGTTTTCATCATCTTAATTGTTGCACTCTACCTGTCTTCAATGCAATATATGTAAGAGGTTATCCTCAGCATAAATCAGTGTTTCTCCATAAACCTCAGCAGAGTCATGTCCATTACATCAAAATCCAGCCCATTTTGTGGACCTATTATTCCTTAAGTAAAGCTTAAGCAAACAGTTTAACACACCCTGAACAACTGAGTTTCCTGCTTCCACAAGCCTCCTCTTCAACCTTCTCTTTGCAGATAGATTTGTAGTATTTGCTATCTATCCTCTGATCCTACTTATGCAACAGTGACAAAATAAAGTTTCATATCTTTTATCTACTTCTAAACAATTTACCCATATTCTTCAGGCATGCATGAAATAAATACTGCAAAAGTAAGGTATGAAAAACTAGGGACTGCCTGAGCACAGGATTCCTTATGTAAAAGATTGTGCAATCTGGCTTCAAAAAAATCCAAACAGTCTTTTGAAGTTTTGTAAGAAAGACAGTTCTGATCTTTGGATCAGTCAACAGATTTTTCCTTAAGATGTTTTTACCCATGAGTGTTCTAAAACAAACTTTAAAAAAGATGTAATAAAAATAATTTTTAAAAACCCCAAACTTGAACTTCTTTAAATCAGTATAGAAATTGAATGTTTTGACATCGCTGAAGCTTCTGTCTGTTTTCCCATTGAGTTAATTATTAGCAAAATCGACATTTACAAAGCATTTGATTTAAGTGGAGCTGCATTTCCACGGAAGCAATTCTAAGAAAATTTCCTTCATCAGCTCAATTAGCATATGCAATACAGAGTTCATGTTACAGTTATACGTGCAACATTAATTTGGGTAATTCCCAATTTTTAGCTGATCAGTTTTGACCTTGTAGATCTCACTTTTTCTTCTGATGTTTTGCAATACCTGGATAGAAAGGTGCATATTTAGTCTAATTTATCAGTATGAACTACAGGTATCTAAAGCACTTCTATATCAGTGTAACTGATTGCATTGGCACAGCAGAACTACCAAAAATTGAGTGAATAGAACTGTTAAATTGATAGGAAAAAAATATGGAAACAAAGCATCAGACATCACACAGGAGATGCTTTTTAAATCCTCTGGTCTTTCTGCACCAGAGTGTTGCAGATTACTTTTTTAAAATGTTCTCAGCACATTTCTTGTCTTTATCTTTCAGCACAGAGATCAAAACATCTCATTGCTGTAAAGTAGAGAGCCACTGATTTCCAAATTTTTCTACTCTGTATAGTGGGATAAATCTAAATACCAGCTCTAAGCCACCTCAATCCATAGAACTACCATAGCCCCTCTTTTCATTATTGGAAAGAATCTGCACATATTTGCTTAATATTCTTTTCTTTGCCTTGGCCAGGTGATGTCAACAGCTGTTCTTCTTCTGGCTATATTTGCTATTTTTGACACTAGAAATAACAGCGTCCCAAAGGGCCTGGAGCCAATTGCAGTAGGACTTCTTATAATTGTTCTGACTTGCTCCTTGGGGATGAACAGTGGCTGTGCCATGAACCCGGCCAGGGATCTGGGCCCAAGGCTCTTCACAGCCGTGGCAGGGTGGGGGATGGAAGTGTTCACGTAAGTATGCCTGGATATCAGGTAAAATGCTCTTGGCTAAAATTGTTTCTAAGAAAGTAAGATCCTGATTCAACATGGTACCAAGCCATACTTTATATACATACAGGTAATTCTTTACATACCAGAAGCAGCGATTCATGCACTTTAAGCCAGATATCCTCGAGGAACTGGGCTTTAAAAAGGATTTCCTGCTCCTAGGGCAAATCAAACATGCATTATCTCTAATATCAATCATTGTTTCAAGCAGAACCTTCCCAAAATATTAGAGATTCTTAGAGGTCACTGAAAATATGAGTTCTTCCTTCTCATGTTCTGCAGCTTTCAGAAAAAAAAAGAATGAAATCAGAAGAGAGTTAGGTGGAAATATTTATTGGGTGCTGTAAAAAACACAGAGGTATTAGATTGATTTAGCCCATTACTACTACTGAGTTATTGCAGAAATACACAACAATCTAAAAGCCTGACTTCCTGCCTGGGAGTGAAGGAGTGAATGAAAGAAAGCTCCCTTCATGTTCCCACATTTCAGGGCACGCTCTCAAATCCCCGTGCATGGCTGTGCACACACACACACGCGCTCTTGGCTGGCCAAACACAGCTAATTAGTTTCACAGCAAATCCACAGCTTACACATGTCCAGTGCAAGAAGCACTCTGGGGTATCTAAGTAAGAGTAATCTGTCATCACAAAATTTAGCTTATTTTTGTTTGGTTTGGTTTTCCAGTTATTTATGAGTAGGAATCCCCAGAAGTGCTGTCGGCCACTAGAGAGCTCTGGTTAATAGAGATTTTATTTTAGCTACTTCACCATGCACAAATAACTTGCATTTGTTATGATTTCTATCTACACAAATCATGTGCCTCCTTGAAGAGAGCACTAGCAAAGCTTTTCTCGTGCACAAATAGCCAGGTATGGCACACCTTAAGCCAGAGCCAAGGCTGGGGTGTAACACAGATCTGGTGAGCCACTGGCAGGAGGTCAGGTCACTAGCCCAGTTACCTCCAAACTTCTCCTCCCCAGCAGTACCATTAGATGGCACTTTTTTAAAAAACAAGGGCACACAGACTGACATCCCACACTTCGGATTCTCCTCTCTCATATCTTTGTAATTACAAGTAGTTGTTGACTCTGGTATTAACCACGGTATCATGTGCTATAATCTGTAATGAAGTTATGAAGTTGGTTATTACATTACTGAAAAGGTTTGGAAGTTTGGAAGCACTGTGATCTAGTCACAGAATACCTGTGAACTCCCCTCCCCTCCAAAGCTAAGATCTTACACATTTACATCAAAGAAGCTACAAGAAAACTCTACATCTGTACCAGTATGGGCTCCTTCCTACTGTAGCTTTAGGATTTGTATACAAATTTGCAATCCCACTGTGAAGACCTTGCTAAGAAATTTTAAAATGTGAATAAACAAAATGAGATAGAAGATCTCTGGTCACTGCCAGAATAAACTGGGCTTTGTAAACTGAGGAAAAAGTCTTCTTGCCTGCCTTCGGTTAAAAGGCTACAGTTATAACCAAAGGAATGAGAATTTCAATGGAGTGTTCTTTTTAGAGCACATATCGGGGTTGACCTAGGAAGAATTTGAGCCCTGTTAGGTAGCTGGAAGAACCATGGGAGAACCCTGAATGATTGTAGTTAGGATCCTGAACTGCCTGATGCTCTGCTGGAGTTACATGTACATGAGCAACTTAAGCAATGCAGCAACAGTTGACAGCTAAACCTTGGATGTCTCTGTTTAACTGGAATTCACAACCTTGAGGCAGGTGCTTAAGCTCTCTAGTAAAGGCATGCCCAGGATCTGGGACCTAAGCATGAAACCTCCACAGTGACAGGAGGGGAGTGCTGCACAAACTGAGCAGTGGGAAATACTGAGGAGACATTCCACATTTGTTGGAGTGAGGAAGCATCTCCCAAGATGAGTCACTCTCTGCCCAAGTCAATGAGTTGTCTACAGAGCAGGCAAGGACCACTAGGAAAGCCTCACTTTGGAACAGATCAGATACACGGGAGCAAGACTTTCCACACTGTTCTCAAGCAAGTGCTCTAAACCTTGAGACAATTAGTTCATCCCCTCTACCCTTCTTTGTGCTTGCAGGTCCAGTAAATTCTGGTTTTATCGTGTATTCAGGCAGTGAACTGCAAGTAGCCTGGAGGGGAGCTCTTCTGTTGGACCATGGAGTTGTCCAGAGGATAAGAAGGCAGTTGAGCACGAGGTTTTCTAAATGTTGCTGTTCCTACATTTTGTACAAAGACACCTGAAGGAGCAGCTTCCCCAAAAATCAAGCCAGAGGACACAAGCTGCAGTGTGGTTTCCCTAGCCTGTAACAATGGGTTTGTTTTGGTTAAAGGCTCCCATTAGAAGCTGTTCTGTTGCACTGCAGCTGGAAAGGCGGTGTCAGTGCAGCACCCTAGAGAGCACCATTTTGTACACAAAAAATGCAGCCAGCACTGGGCCTGCTCTTGTGAACTGCTGCTCAGCCTGTTGGGAGGAGGTGTCACAGATGTTAACTGTCCCCATCACTGGGGACAACAGCTGACTTTAGAGACCTCAGTGTTTCTAATGACTAATCCTAAAACCATGGCGACAACCAGCCTTTCTTAAGCACATGCTTAATATTCTGATAAGCTTAAGAAAAGTTTTGGGGAGCAAAGTTTTGTCTGTAGCGAGAAAACAGCCAGATCTTCAAGTACAATTACCAGGCTCGATTTTCACAAGCAAAATAGAGCATGAAACAGCAACGATAGAGAGAGAAACAGCTGCACAGAGCAGTGTTTCGTGTCAGCATCTGAAGGTATCGCTGGGATATTCCAGCCCGGTTAGTTTTGGGTTCTCCTGCCCGTGGCTGCGGCGGCGGTGCGGGCTCAGCGCGGTAACGCTGACACCTCGTGGTCGCCAGCACCGAGGACGAGTCTCCCGGGCTAAACTGAGCTGCACTTTGGAAAAGGTGCAGTCAGGAGACGCATCTCTTGTCTGCACAGGGGCTCGGGTGGCAAAGCGGCCTCCGAAATGTTGAGCGCTCTCCCTGGAGCGCAGCACTGCAGCCCGGATTACCCCGGGGCTCCCTGTCCTGCAGCAGCTGGCCAGCGAGAAGAGTATCTACAAGTCTAAAATGGGCGAAAGTTCCCAGTTCATGTAGGTTATACACCGTATTTCCTGGAAATTGTCACAGTTAGGCAAAGTGCCGCTGGACAGGTCCGTGTGCTGCCTCCTCCTCTCGCAGCCTGCGCCTCCCACCCCACCCAGCAGCAAGAACACCCGGTGATAACAGAGGCAGAGCTGGCTGTTCTCCTGCCAACTTCACAGCAAATCTGTGCACTGGGGTAAAGCCAGGGTATAAGGGCACTGAGGGTCCTTCAGTGAAGCTATTTGGGCTTGTCACAGAGAGTTCTTGCTCCTGTGCTGACAGGACTGTCATGGAAACTCCTAACTTGGCTGTGCCCCGACCTTGTTTCAGTTTTGGCAGCACCTTCTATGAAGGTTTTACACCCAGAACCTTAACAGAGGGTGTCTAAAGCACAGCTGACAGCAGCTGCTGGGAATACAGGCCGTGATTTGGAGAAGGTCATGTAGGAGCTGATGAGGCACATGCCAGTTTGTGGAACAAGCCAAGAGAGACACCTGCCAAGAAACACCTTTTTTCCATGCCCATATACACACACTTCATGAAGAAGAATACATGCAAGTACTTGATGTAGATTTTGATGTGCTGATTAAGTCAATAAAACCTTAGTCTATGCTTGTTCCAGAAATTCAAGGGCGTAAGAGACATTTGTGATTCAACAACAAACAGATTTATAAAGTCAATAGAACAATATCAGGAGTTATTTTATATCCTCAGGGCAAAATATAAATAATTCCAAAGGTAAAACATACACATCCAAGGCATTTCTGAACAAGGAATAACAGTATCATCAATAGGCACTGATATTTGCCCAGCTCTATTCTTGCATTGTGACTTAACCAGAAGTTCACTTCTGCTAAAAACTATACAACTGAGTGGTGAATAATTATCCTTATAGTTTAAAAATTCCCCTGCACCATCCTGTAAAGTTCTTCTCACAGATTAATTTGTCCCTTTGTATTTCTGGGGGGAAAAAATTCTCCATTTTCAATATGCATGAAATTGAGGTAGCTGTATTTTCACTGGAGACTCACATATTCAGTTAATACAGCATGTTATCCAATCAGAACACCTTAATGCATCAAAACAGTTTAGAGAGTATCTGCTCTGAACCCAGTACTCAGTTATTTGCTGTCTGAATGTGGACCTCTGGGAAAGGGAGAGCAATTCTATCAGCCCTATTTCCAAGCATAAGGAGTTGTTATTTATAGTTTGATACAGGTGGACTACTTACTTTAAAAATGTTCATAAATCTACATATTTAAAATTAAATCATAGTAATTATGCAAAGTGAATGTGAACATTTCAGTGGAGCCAGCTTGCCAGATTCTCTTAGTGAATGCAGCAATTCTAAGCAAGATTTTTAGGCATATAGAACTTCTGAATGTCTATTTGCCTTTTACTGAAAGACATCACATTTTAAACACAGAGATAATATACTACATCATGAAATTTGAATCTGGACCACTCCAGTCAAAGATAATCCACTTTATAGTCTCTGTGTTTTATTACAGTCCTTAAGGGAAATATAATCAAAATCAAGTATGATCTATTACACATATCAAGAGGAACACCATATATACTATTACCAGTGTGAACCTGCAACTTTCCACATGCATGAGATAACCCATTTTTGTAACAGACATTTGCCTTGATTATTCCTGACAACCAATTTACAAGCATCTGGTGACAGCACTAGTCAAGACTGCTGGGCAATAAATATGTCCCTGTTCATTTCATTGTAAGTCAGTGAAGCCCACTTTCCACAGCAGAGAAATTATCCTCTGTCCCCAAACAGACATGCAGTAAAAAGGCCTTATTTTCTAAGGTGCAACCAGACCAACATGCCTGGTGCTTGTTACTTAGCATTCCAATCACAGCCTGGGCAGGGCAAACAGGGGTGTCATCCATTTACAGAAATAGAAAGGTCTATGCTGTGGTGAGTGTCACGCCACTGTATCTGTTCATTGACAAATATACAGTAAGGTGTTCACTCGAGTAACAAATAATAGTTATTCATGTTTTTTGTCTTACAGGGCTGGTAATAATTGGTGGTGGGTCCCTATAGTTGCACCTCTGCTGGGAGCTGTAGTTGGAGCAATGACCTACATTATTTTTATTGAAATGCATCACTCAGATCCTCAGTCAGGAGGAGAAAACGAAGTGCGTGACAAATATGAACTGACTAATATGGAGTAAGAACTGAAGAATTTTCTCTGTCATTTTGTTGTGCAGTTTTTGTGCAAATGGTTGGACCATTTTATTGTGTGCCTCAATTAGAAATTCACCTTTCAAAGCACAAATTCTACATAGAACTCAAAACTGAACTCTTTCCATGTAACATTGGGTTGATCACATTCAAAACTGGGAACTTGGGTATGAGAAGGGTAAATTGTTGTTCTTCTCATATGGCTTTCAGATCAAATTATCCCCTAGATGCAATTGTAGTGAAATGATGCACTGACCTGTTAATTCAACACATATGATCCTAATCATGTTACCTAATTAACTGAAAATAGATGAGATATTGATACAAAACTGCATGCATTGCTAGTTAATTGATTCAGTGCTGAATTAATGTGCAAGGGCATTGCTCACTTCTTAAGAACGGCTTGCCTGAACATTAAAAACAATACCCAAATTGCTAAATGTCAATTGAAACAGTTTTGGATAACTTAGTAAATTTTTGTGGACCCATTATTGAACAGCAAGGAATCAACTCAGCAGTGATGAGGTTTAGTAACTCAGAATACGATCACAAAATCTGTGTGTTACAAGATGAACACCAAAGAGACAAAGATGTAACTTCTTCATAGCAGTAATGTTCAGTTATTTTTAGACTATTTACTTGACCTTTATGCTACCCAATATTAAAAGCCTAGCATAGAATATTAATCTGAACCTCTTCCGCTGTGCTTTCTGGATAAAATTCATTCCTGTGGAGATGGCCCAGCAACAGAGGCTCACTCTGTGCAGAGGTCAGCACAAGGCCCACGTCTGTATAAGCTTTAAAGAGTCCTGCTGATGATAATTTACATGAGGGGATTTCGTCTGCATTGTGGGAGTAATTTTTAATTTGGTGGAAGTAATTAACAATAGAAGCTGGTCCCAGACCCAGTCCTAGATCTGAATTCCCCAAAGAGGGCCAGATCCACACTAGAGTTCTGAAGTGTAGGTTCTCTCTCGCTGAGTAGAAGTGGTTGGACATACACCACTTCCTAAATATCCAGCCTTGAAAATGAAATTATTTCTGCTTAATCCTTGTGAATTGAATGTATTCAATTAAATCAAAGTTCATTTCTAATATGTATACATCTATACCTGGTTGGTGGTGGTGATCATGAATAAACAGACATCCTATTCAGCAATGCTCCTGAGCTATTTTCATGGCAAAACTTCAGGGTACTAGCTCAATGCACTAATTTCCAGAGTGCTCTTCCCTTTGGATTTCTACAACCTTGCTCCCTAAAATTCCACGCTGCATTCCTGATTTCACTTCTGAAGTGAGGAACCCTTTGTGTTGCCACCAATAGCCTGTGCCCTTTGGTGAGGTATCCACTGAAGAGGTCTAGAAATACTGTGGTCAGAATGAGCATCAGCATTTGGGCAGATGAGGCCTGTGTCACTGCATGTCTTTGCCCTGGGACACCACGCCAAGCTCACGGCAGCAAAGGGACACAAACGGCAGCTCAGAGTCAGATATTGCAGTACACTTGAGGGAGTATAATTCTAATTTTAATGATGTTTTTAAGAAAATGTACATAACAGTGATGAACTTACGTTGCTCAGAGACATATCAAGCCAGTGCAAAGTGTTCCTTCCATTCCGAGCTCCCCTGCCGTGGGTTGACTCCGCTGGAGCTGGACCCATCCACCTTTGGTTGTATCATTGTATCTACGGCTGAGGAGTCTCAGTAACAAGACAGGGTTCCCAGAAACAGTCCTCAACCTGAGCAGAGAAGAATCAAGAGTACAATGTGAAAATTAGACCTAACTGTAGACCTTTTCTTGGCAGCACAGACAAATTCTATCATCTGTCCTGTATTTTGATAAATTGCACTACATAGAACAAGATGGGGTGTAAAAGCAATCGCAGATCGATCCCTCTTTTGCCCTCCCACCTGCAGTGAGAGCTGTCTCTCACCCCTTGGTGATACCTGGGACAGGACACTCCAAGGTGGTTGCCAACCATCTAAGTCTGGAAAGCTCTTCTGGAGGTAGAAACAGTCTGAAGGCTGCTCCCAGGTCAGAAAGGTGCTTACTCTCCCTCTGATGCCAACATCTAGCATGAAATAGCTGTACAGAAAATAAAAATAGGCAGCTAATTAACCAGAAGTAACCAATTTTTTTCCAGAATGGTAGGGAGAGTTAATGACTTCTTGTGTTAGGATTTTGCACAGTCGGTGGGCTCCATATCCCTCATGATATTTCTTCCTTTAGTACATCATGGAAAACATGGGTAAAAGCAGAATACAGGTCAGGAATGTGGAAAGGATGGTTTATTTATACAACCTACTGAGTGACTAGCCCACACTTGCTGTGTGCCTATGCATTAGCCAAGATACATAAAGTACTAAATTTTCTCAAAATTCTTTTGATCACAACAGGTTCTGCCCGTAAATTTACAGGAAATCTTGTTTCTCCTGCTTATGCCATTCCTATGCAGAGAATTTCTGCCTAAGTGATACTTACTTGTCTGAAGTTATTAGTGTGCAACTCATAAGCAGTGACACACTCATGTGATAGCATAACAACATCTTCAATGTGCTCTTAACAAGGTTTTGTCAAATCTATGTTTGCTTAAAGAATTTATTTTTAAACTTCAATTAATACTTCAATATTTTTGAAAATTCTTTGAGAACACCTCATACTAATTCCACAATTCATACTGGCTTCACAGAAGCCAGAATTTCATTTAGGAACAGGGCATTGTAGACCTGTCTCAGATGCGACATAATTTAAATTTCTAAGTATAAGAATGAATTCCTGCTTTTGGAACAACCCCCCCTTCCTTAGTCTTAACTACAGAACCATGTCCAGTATTACCATAATGTAATGGGAACAATAATAATCACCTCATTCCATAAACTAACTTAGAAATTATCTGTTTTATAAAAAAAAACCAAAAAAAGTATTTTGACTTTGCATGAATGATGCAATTTTCTAATATCAACTGATATTCAGTGGTCACACATGTTAAATAAATATAGTACAGTTGGCAAGAAGAAAAAGCTTTTCCAGCTGAAAGACATGTTGGTTAATGAATTCAGAGTAATCAGCCTCAATGGTTTTATTGTTGAAAGAAATTAATTTCAGAGCGTTGCTGAACTTTCATTCTGGATTTGTTCTTTTGGGAGGTAATGTGTATTCCTTACAGCTAATCTTAGTATTGCAGTAATTTGGAGAGTGATCCTGCAAATAGTACTGGGCTAAAGTTTGGCTACTGCTTGTTGTTTCATAGAAGCCAGTGGAATTATTCACAACAGGTGGCAATACAGGCAAGGATAAATGATCAGAGAATTGAGCTCAGAGTATAGTGGAAACTGTGCTTTCTTGGAGCTTTGTCTGTGGATCTGGATGAATGTTTTGTGGTTCAAAATAAATACAGTCAATCCCAAATAAATGCATTCCAGTGCTATTTTTATTAAAAAAAAAAAAATATCCCCTGCGGCACCTAAGGACATATTAAGAAATAAATAGCTGCCTGTTATGACCTGCAATGTTTTATAGCCTTGTGCTGGAAGAACAGGCTGACTAGCAAGCTGTACTCCCAGAGTGCAGCCCCTGTGGCAGATTCCAAGGGTCAGAGGCGGTGCCAGGGCAGGGGAATGCTCACCTGGGAGTGATGGTCACTGCCAGGCCAGGAGGCACCCGGCAACGAGGCCCCCTGCCCCCAGACCTTCCTGCAGCCTGGCCAGGGCACTTCCCACCCCACCTTTCCCACTGCTTTAACAACAGGCAGAACCTACTGGGATACTTTGTTTGAGCCCCTCTTCAGACACTGTTTTAGCCATGCATATATCACAACAGATGTGGTCTCCAGGGCTTACAAAACATGCCCAGCTAATTTATCCATCTTCTACTCTACACATTTGTAACAGGGACATGCTTTGCTTTTTTAGTTTAAAAAGCACATGAAAACCTGTTCTGTGGGAGTGAGGGAAAGATTAGGTGCTTCAAATTTACTCAGGGAGCCACTAAACAAACAAACAAAAAAACCCCAAAGAAGCCAATTTAAAGTGTAGGTAGGCATTTTATCCTCCTTCCACCCTGATTGAGCCTTACCTTCCTATGGCTCTTTCTGATGGACTTTCTGTTCTCCTTCCCTTCTCCTGCCAACACTGTGCTGTGCTCTGTCTCTATACAGCACAATGCATCTCCAGAGATTTAAATACAACATGCTTTTCTCAGTTACTTATGAATCTTAGAAAGTTCTCATGAGAGCAAATTCAAGTTTCACCTCACAAGCTTGTTTTTTTGGCAGTCGCTCGCATATTTTTTCCCCACTGTTCCCACCAAACAACCTTGTTCTGGAAAATACAACAATTAACTATAACTTCCAGTAACAGCTGCTCTTTTTCTGCTCAGCACAATTGTTATTGCATTACAGATTACTTCTTTCAAACATTTACAATTTTAAAAGCCTTCTTTTTCAAACCACTATTAAAAATAGCATAAGATTATCCAGAAAAAAAAATATTCTGTGCTCATCAGTTGGTAGTTTGGATTTTTATTTTCTAGTTCGCACTTACAACTTGTTAAAAAAACACATTTATTGTACTGTGAGTGTTAGTGTCTTTCTGCTTATTTGCACAGTCTAATGGCAGAGGAGAAAGTAGGGAAGTATTTTTAACCATTGGTGTTTCTATGTATATTTGAATCAAATATTAGAGAAATCCATATAGTATGAAGCCAGATGTGAACCTTTCATACAATTTTTCTCTCTTTGCTGACCCCAAATTCCTTCAGAAGTTGTTACTAAGATAGGGAATAGGAATACCACAGCACCTTAAATCAGCAGTGATCAAGCTTTTTGGCCAGATGACCCAGTTGGCTCCTTTTCCATGACAAAGGACAGACTAACTTGGTCCCTTCTCTGGCCTGCCTAGGGACTGAGCATTCTGCTTTAAATTCATCAGACTTTCCTTTCACACTCCAAACATTGCTCCAAACATCCAGAAGTCAAGAGTGAGGATGCTGCTACTTGCTACATTGACAAATAAAGTGATAATAACGAAGAAGAGAAAACTTCAAAAGCTGCTAAAACAAAGCAAGCCCTTTCGGCCAGAGGCCAAAAAAGCTGTCTGATAAATGCTTGGTTACTTCAGAAAATAGTGTACATTTCCCTGGGGAACACAAAAATAAGGAAACAACAGCATGAAGTAACACCATCAGAAGATTGTCTTTCTGTTCATCTATCAGAAAACTCCTGCCTGTCTTGGATGCAAATTCTAACATTCCCAGTACCATTAAGAGGACCAGTTTAGGCACATTAATAGTATTATTTCCTCAGCATTAGGCACATAATAGTCTAATGGCTGAAGAATACTTTCCACACCCTCAGAAACAAGAGTAGTTTGTTTCACTGCACAACTCATCTCAGGAAACCTTACATGCCTTCCAGTTATAAACAGGGCTGTGAGTAAAAAAGCAACAAAGCAAACAATATGTTAAGACTTGAAAAGTCAGCGTCTGAATAGAAGGAAATGAACAATCTCAGCCAGAACTGAACAGATGCAACAGTTTTTGTAGCATGACCAAGGCATCAGTTAACAAACATGAAGCCAAAGCAGCAGCACATGCTTGGCAACAAGTATTGCTAATTTAAAGAGTCAGGTGTTTTGTCAATGCCTTTTAAACACACTTACTAAATAAATAGTATTTGAGAATAAAAGGACTAAATTGCAGTGGTGTTGTTTTCCATAGCAAAGGAACAAAACGTGATGATTTGAACACTTTCAGGTTATTGAAACTAGACTTTAAAAAATAAATAGAAAAAGGGGGGGAAAAAGAATGCAAATCTCAGTGGGGAAAAGGAAAGCACAGTAGTAACTTACTTGAATTGATTTCCAGCCCTATGAACCTGAACCCTTCTGCAGCTGCTCACAAGAGGCAGCATGGACCTTCCCTATAAAACTGCACAATATCAAGATCAGAACTGTTTTATCTTCATGTCCATCTCAGATGTTCAGGACATTAACAACTGATGGCTACACACTGCAGAAGGCTTCTGCTCCATAACCATTCTACCTCCTAAGGCAGAAAACCTATTCAGCTTTAGTGCAGAGAGAGTTTCATCTCATGCACCTGTAAATCCCCAGTGGGTTCATGCTTTTCAGGGTACAGAAGCAACACATGTTTTTGAAGATGGTTGCACTGAAGAAAAACGACAAGAAACGCAAATAAAAAGAGACATGAATCCAGCTGCCAGATTACCATGGAATCCCAGGGGATAAAGCAAGTGCAAAGGCTACTCCAGCAAGTCTTGAGGGAGGAAAGCAGAACAGACAAACTTTGATTCAGAACCCCATTGTCTTCACAGCTATGAATAGTCTTCACAGAAGAATGCTTCAAAGTCACAGGCCATTCCAAAATGTAATGTATATGCAAATACCACAGCACATCAGAGGCTTCTGATCCAAGAAAACGTGATGGCTGAGCAGAATATGGCTATGAAGACATACACATTTCAATCTGTTCTAACACAAAAAGACAAAGTCCTTCCTTAAAATAGAAGCCATTATAGGCTGTATTTGCTATCATAGGTAGTTCTTTGAAATTCAAGGAACACAAGAAGCCAAACTATACAGCTTTAAAATGAATTTAACTGATCAAAACAAATAAAACAAAATCCACCTAAAATATTTACCCTGCCTGCAAGTGGACTGGTTTCCTTTTCTTCTTCCAAGTCTTTTGCCTGGTTTTCTAATACAACTGGCAGCAATCCTCTGGTTCTCTCTCAGGCTCCTGTCTTGACTGTGTGCAACTAGTCTTTCATTCAATGAGCACCAGGTCCTATACAAAATATTCCATTTCCATGAAGACAAAAAAAAAAGCAGTTTTGAGACATATTTCAAAATAAATGTGATTTCATACCATTTCAAAAGTATACTGCGAGCAAACTGGACTTCCAACAATCCACCTAACAATTACACTCTTTTTCCTTGCCTTTGGTCAGATGTGTTGCTTACAGCAACCTGGCAGAACAATGATTATCTCATTAGGGGAGATCTACAGGACATGGGATTTGGATTTCCTCCTAGGGAAATCCTAGAACAAGAGATATAACTCAGGTATTGGCCAATTTTATTTGTTGTACAAGATTGACCCTGAGAAACACCGTGTTACAGGATATGATGCATAAATCAGTGAGAATCAGCTTGTGTTCCACATTCTGAATGCAAAGTGTTTAAACTTAACAGAGTTCCTATTTGTACATCTGACTTCAGGCAATTTCAGTAGTAATTAGAAAGCCAGAAGCAAATATATATTCCTAAAAAATATTAAGTAAACTTTAGAGCACAGCTATCCTGGGGAGGGGGGCAGGTGGTGGTGGAAGCTCTCCCTTCACATGTGGAAACTTAACTTCATGCCCAAATAGCAAATGTCTACAGCTTGTAAAAGAATTATGATCTGAGCCTTTCTGATGGTGTCTTAATGTTATCATGGCTGAGATAACCCTGCTCAAAAAATAATTAGTTTGCTTTACTTTCAAACTTACTAGATTTGTAACATCACAGTCTCTGGTTCTGAACTTTGCTTCTGCCTTCGTTTTCCCTGATGCTCCTGGAGGTGTTCTGCTCTGTTCCAACTCTTCCATATTTATTTATTTTTTAGTAAACACAAATGAGGTCCTTTCTTGTGTGCTTTTATTTGGTCTGACAATAAACACATCTTCCTTCCTGATCATCAGCTTTGATATACACAGTGGAACTCCTCACATGCACATGGTGTGTTGGGCTGTGGAAGAGCCAAGTGTCACACAAAACAAATTGCAGCTGTTGAGTCAGCCCGAGAGGGTTTCATGCCACAACACTTCCTCCTACAGTGGCTTTGGGAAGATTTTCCCTGTCAGAACAGTCCTTTATTCTGTAGGGCAGCTTTATCAAAAGCCATGTCTGGCATGAGGGCTCTGGTGGTACCTCAGCTTCACTGTTAGGAGAGGAAGAGGAGCACCAGCCCACCTGGGAGGGGTTCGTGCTGTCTAAAGGTGTCCAGCTGTTCTGGGGGGCAGATAAAAGCTTAGACAGAAAAAAATCTATTGTAGCACTTAAGCATAAGGAGGTACTTCAGGCATGTGATTTGTCTGCTGGGCATCTCTGTATGTGTTAAACACATACAGAGGAGGTGAATATAAGTTTGAGGCTGTTGCCATAAGCATTTACTTGGCAAAGAACAGTTCCTGGTGGAAATCAGCACTTAAAGAACCCTTTTTTCAGAACAATTCTTTTTCAGATCAGCACTGCACCACCATTTAGATTACTTTCTCAGTTACATATCAAAAGCTACAACACTTCTGAATTTTAATAAAAGCCCCATTCTCACCAGCAGATTGTTTTTTTAAACAAAGCTTTTTTTAAAAAAATTCATTTGGACAGGATGTTGTTTATCACCAGCACTTACTATATTATTTTTGAAGACTGTGACACAGTGATATAAACGCTCCAGAAACATTATTTTGATGTAAAATACACATTGTAAAGGTGATGAGTATGACAAGATCACATTAATTCAAACTTTTTTTTAATCTGTCTCAGTCTTGGAATACATGGACTGTGTCTTTACTTCATCAAGCCACTTGCTTATTTGAATGTCTTAGTTAGGACGTTTTTCAAATGTTAAGAGTTTGTTAAAAATAAATGTTGTAAGAGCAAGGTCTATAGATCCTAATGTTCACAGAGGTGGCTTCTGTAGTCAGTAGCAGAGTCAGTATGAAATGGAGTGAGCAAATGCAGTGCACACAGGAGATGCCACACTGGGGTCACTCAGGTCCTGTGTGCCCAAGGAGGGAGGACAACAGTTAGATTTTAAGGTCTGAGTGCAGATATTTTTTCTGACATGCTTACGTGGTGCCAAGCACAATGATGAGGCCCCATGGTACTGGGGTGATAATGATACACAGCTTTCCTGTGCCACCCCACCTCAATCCTTGACCCTGAACTCAGCCCTTCACTATAGGGGAGATGTATTGGCCTACACCACTTGTGCAGTCCTTGAGCTCTCTGCTGAGATGGCTAAAAACACACTTTAGAACTAATCCTGAGAGAAAAGGCTGGGTTTGCTGATGGGATGGATTTCCAGGCACAGAGTTTCAGAGTCAGATTCTGGTACCTTGTTACCTGGACAAGCCTTAGCATAAGCTTACTAAAAGAAGAAAATGATTCTTTATATTTTACAGTGTAAGTACAAAACACAGTTATACCCAGAGATATAAGACCCTTGAACTAATTGCACCAATTGCACCAAAAATCACAGTATTTGAAAAGTGTGGTACACTTGGAAAGGTGATTTGAACAGGACTACAATGTTCATATCCCATTACCAGGCTCAAAGTGCCCTTAATTACCTTGTTTGTGTAAGACCAAAAAGCTTCATGCTGCTTTTGGACAGTATGACCAGTATCTCTGGGGAATACCATGAAAAGGTCATGAGTATCTCACAGGACCATCCAAAATCCCTAGATTTTTAATAAACACATTAATTCATGTTAAATAGCTCACATTCCAGCTATAGTTCTATTTTTAGGGTATTTGTTGTGCTTATATAAAGAAGTGTCACCAGTTTTGAAGGATTTTTAAAGACAAAAAAGAACAGCTACCTTTGTGTGCAAGGGGCTGTTGGGGGAATGGGCTGCTTCCACTACACCACCAGCTAATGGAGCTGCAGGGAAGGAACCGGGACGTGGCAAAGTGACACATATTGTAACATGAGCTAAATGGAGAGCTCCTTGTTAAACTGATTGGTTGTTTTGCCCTCCTGGGAACCTTAATAAAATCTTTAAAGCAAAGGAAGTGCTCGTTATTGTAATAGCACATTGGAATATCTCATGTCAGCAACAACCTGATGTAATGGTTTACTCCTTAGTCAATATCTGAGGTTTTCCTAAGGGATAACTACGTTTTCCTACTGCAGCGTTGAAGGGCCAAAAACTTACAGATTTGCCCATGAAAAACAGAACAGCCCCTTAAAACGACTTGCATGTCCTGAATACTGCAAGAGAGCTCTAAAAAAGGGTGGAGACAGTTACCACCCAGAGCTGGGACAAGGATTTGTAACAGGCACAGATAAATTGCAATGAAATTTTGAATTTAGCAGCCAAGTTATGGAAACCTACACACAACTCTCTTTCCTCAAGAATTGTTCCGAGAAAAATCACTTTCCTATGAACCCTGAGTAATGGTTTCCTGTATATCCCCGTTCAGAATAGACTAAACACAAAACAGTAAAAAATGCTTTGGAGGTATAAAGCAGGCTGCTGGGAGGAATGCAGTATTTGGGAGCATGACTGTTTAAATGCTAGCTAGAACAAAATTATGGGATCTACTAAACATGCCTTAAAACTGGGTCTTCATCCAGAATTATATTTTTTTATTTATTAGAAAGCTCCACAATAAACCAAAATATCTCCTTGTTCAATTTTTCAAAAAGATAGTATCTTAACTGTAATAAGTTAGAGTTTTCCTCTTTGAGCCTCTGATGATAGAATTAAAGACACATACCATGTGACATTTTACACTTTTCCCTTATTATTTCCCTCCTCCCTTGCAAACTCTGTATCTTCTCAGTATTGAAGTTGTTTTAAAGCAGTAAAGGGAACATAAATACTACATCATCGAGGACAAAATGTTTACAATATGTTTCAGTGTATTGAAATTTTCTAGTTACCAGACAGTTTATATATAGGCATTACAATAAGCAAATTCAGAAGCCCAGGAATTGCAAAGCTAGTCCAAACAAAAGTCACTGGATTAAACAATAACATACAGCCAGAAAATATTTTCCAGAGACAAAATAGAAGAAAAATTATGTAAACCATGCAGTAAAAAGATCACTTGACTTCTGTGTCGTATATCCTTGCCATCTTAGGAACACCATGAAAATTAAATATTATCAAAATATATGATTTTACTACAAGAAAAGATAAGTTAATTGTGCAGACTAATATCAAAAGCTGTTTAAAATGTATAGTCTTAGCACATTGCCCAATGTTACTACAAAATAGTGTCTTATCTTGTGGGACCACAACTTTCTTGTCATTAACTTCCTTCTTATCAACTCATGATTTTTAATCAGAGCAATGTTTCCACAGTACCATTTACCAAAAGAGAATTGTATATACCCTTAAGCATATGCTCATGAGAAAGAGGATAGCAAACTCATTGCTTAATTACTTGATACAAAATTATGTTTAGACAAAAGATATAATGAGAAACTAATGAGTTCCCAGGATAGCAGAAAATAAGGTACAATACCACCTGTGTATCTGTGATCCAGAAGTCCTTTCCTGGTTTGCATTCAGAGAAAGACTTAGAAATCAAATCATGTCCTCACATATTTGCCCCAAAGCAAACTTATTCATGGTTTGAAGTACATATAAGAGTATGAAAATTTACTCCAAAATTCTTTAAGTTCTGTAAATTATTAAAACCACACTTATCCATAAGAAAATAAAAACATCAAAGTGCTCTAAGACCTGAGTCATACCAAATGGACTGGGGATATCCCCAAATTCAAGACATGCATTAGAATTTTTAGGTTCCCTAAAAATCTCCCCAACCCTTATTAATTGACTAGGTCCATATCTGTTAGAGTAATCAATGCAGTGCACTAATTTAGGACTTCACTGCCACTGATTTGAGCAAAATTCAAATCAGGTCTTCCATGGGCACACACAAAATATCTACCTACTTTATCTCAGAACCTCCTAGAATATAACTGTATTTTCTGAGGGATCCACACATATTATAGATAACTGATCATTCCTTTCATATCAGATTGTTTTCATCTAGACTTACATGATGTACTTGCATATTTCAGTAGTTGCCCACTTACAATCTTGGCAACTGAAATTATGTAGTCAATATTTAACCTGTTTATCTCACAATAATAGCAGCAAAGAATCCACTGCAACAATATGCTTCAGTCAAACTCTTTGGAAATGTGCAATACTTTAAGCAGTTGCCAGAATTTCTGTTAACAAAACAGATGTAGAAAACTATAAACAGACAGGTAAACATTTTTAACAACTAACCCTCAGCAGATAGCTCTCATTTGAAAGCAATTTGTACCTTTTATAAACATTAGCCCATAAAGACCTGATGACATGTTTAAGTCCCAGTGAAACATGCCACAGATAATCTTGACACAGTTTACTTAACCCCTCTTATGTGTGTAAACCATATTTGACCTCCTCCAAGACACTTTCAAATATCATATTCATCTTCTCATTTGGAAAAAAAATAAACCAGTACTTTCAGAATTATAAATTAATCTTAATTTTCAGGTCTTTGTGAGTGCAAATCCAAAAGATCTAGTCAATTCAGTTTTGAAATGTGATATAAATTTTATCTTCTTTCATAGTTTGAAATTGATTTTTAAAAAATAGCCTGTAGTTTACTCTTGAATTCTTCTGAAGTCCAGACCACCAACCAACAACTACATGAAATGAAAAATTTATCACAAGCTGTGCCTAAGTCTTTAAATAAAAATGAAGTAATGCAGGTACCAAGTACTTTTTAAAAGGTGTACTTTTTATCCAAGGGCAAGTCCAAGAAGAAAATAAAGATGTCACCTCAATGCTTGGCTGCCCATATTGCAGAAGGCAAGTCACAAAAAGGAGTCAGGTGCCTGATAAAGGGACCTGTGGAGAAGGACAGTGAACCCTAAAACTATGATCACTTCTGAAGAATAAAGTTCTAAAGCAAAGATTTTCCCCAGTTTGGGGGCTGGGCTGTCCTGAGGTAACTTAAGTGTTCTCATCAGAAAGTAAAAACATACTGTTACTTGTTGCTACCATTTATAATTCTTGATTAAGCAACTGAGGGCTGAATCTTAATTACCTGACTGTAGCATGTGCCATTCTCCACCCTGCAAGAATTTCAAAACCCATATGAGAGACTAAAAGCCCTTCTCTGCAAATACATCTCATTCCCATGAAAGCTTCTTTTCCTGAAGATTAACATCTGCAAACTTCCATGGCACTGCCTGCAGTCAAAGAGCAAACTTCCTCCCTTGCTGTTGTCACCATGGCCTGCTGAAGGGACTCTGTGATACAAACACTACATTTAAATCTCAGTTTTGGCTGTCTCAGAGAATCTTGACATTCTCAAGTGATTCTGCTGGTTGGTGGTACATTACATGTGGGGGAGCATTCCCAAAAAGCCACTGGCTGTGGCCTGTTCTGCTGCCTGGATTTCACCTGATCAGCATATTGTGAAGCTGTCCCAGTCTCAGCACACAGGGAGCTGGTGCCCTTTGTGGTGAAGGTGGCACACATCAGAGCCTCAGCTGGCCTGACTGTGCTGGCAGGTTACCTGGGGCTTCAAATACATATAACTAGGCTGGCAAAAGCATTTCCAGGTAGAATAAGCTGCTTCACCCAAATGGACTCATCATAGGAGGAAAAAAATAGCCAAGAGATAGTTCCTAAATTCTTTGTATCCTTAGCCCTGGTTACTTACTGTGGATGCTGCTGGGCTGTTTTCTGGGCAAAGGTGTTGGGCTGAAAGTGTTTCAGTCAGGCAGGGAAATGTTTTGTCAAAGCTACACAAATCTGCAGTGGGGAAAATGGTTTCATGCAACAGAGAGCTGTCCTATTATTAAACTTGGGAGCAGTCTACAAAGCCTAATGTTGGCACAAAATGTCACTGAAACATCACTTATCTGCATGGTGGGTTGTCATTCTTTTAGGGAAACACATTCCACAGGCCATAGAAAAGTGAATCAGCTCAGCATCCATGGTCTTAGATGTGCACTCTGACCTGTGGATCTACCCAAACCTTGCAAATGCAGGCCAAAGCCCCAGGTCAAAGGAGCATAGATTTAGCTTTATGTCAGCCTGACTTTAAATGTTTACATAATATTTGCTGACTAGGAATAGTTTTCAGAAAAAAAGATGAGATTCTGTATAAAAGACTGTGCCTTCATCTGGCATTTGAAGATTTCACAGGGTAGAAATCTGGAGAATGTCTTAGAAGAATAAAAAAGCTTAACAGTTCAGTGTCAGACAGAGTGTTCAGATAGGATCGTGTTCACGCCTGGTACTTTATGTTTCCAATTAACTTGATTTTGAAGCAGTGGATGATGTCCAAAAATTTACATAAATAACAAATACAGTGAAAAGTACAGATTTCCTGGGATGTTTTAATTTAACATTAACCAGATGCATTTGCAATTAAGGTTGAATTCAAAGTCTGGTGCCTTAAAGCAGGGAAACCATTGGAGAATTTCCCATCTAGGAGGAATTTGTCCCAAGAGATTCATGTGTCTGCTTGTAACTACTCGACATGGCCAATGTTTTAAATGCTTATAGCCAGGTCAAGACCCATAGTGCAGTATCCATCACTGGTATGAAAACATGGTTATCAGGTTCCCCAGGAAATAGGTATTTATGCAATGTTCACATTAGCACAACCTGTGGAGCACAAATTCTATTGAAATGAATACAATTGTCCCTGAAGAAGGTATCCTTCTATTTAGTTCCCCACCAAGTACTCAGTGCCTTTGGCTCCCACATCTCCTACTGTTCCAGAGTGGTTGGGAAGCTCTGGATAAATGGGAAAGCAGACACAGAAGAAAACTGAGCTGGTGAAATTCATGCTTGGAAGAGCACAAGCAGGAGCAGGGCCTGGCAGAGATGCTGCCAGGAGCACAATCTGCTGGTCATGCACAAGAACAAGGGGGAAAACATTTCAGTCAACATGAGTTTGGAGGGCAAGGGTAGGGATGAACTTCCATACAAACAGATACAAATAGTCAGGTCTGGGCAGGCACTACTTCAGAGATTCATCTTTCCCTTCACATGGATCTGTATGTGACTACTATTTTGGCACCCTCCTAAATCATTTCAAATCAGACTAGTCACGTACTTCACATGCAAGCTGGTGTATCACACGCTGGAAAAGGCAGAGTATAGTTTAATACATTGAGGTAATTCATGTAAGGTTTTAATAGATTCACGTAATTCATTAAGAACCAGTAACTTCTTGTGGAAAACAGTCTCACTGAGTCTGCTGAGAGTCTATATTCCTTTTTCCTGCTTCCCTGTTCTTCATTGCATGACAGAAAGTTTTTTTTCTTGAAGTTCAGTAGTTTCAATTCCTTCTCATTCATCTAAAATAAGAAGCTGCTGACTGTGAAATTGCAATTCCTTATGATGAAAGATAAAGCATTTGCAATAAGACAAGAAAGACTGTCCAAGGCCAGAATGAAGCATCAAGTTTTGAAAACAAACAATATCCTATGCTTAAAGGTATAAAAATTATATTTTCTGAAGATTTATAAAGATAACTGGATCTTTAAATAACGCTGGTATTTTCTGGCACTTTTCCTTACACTGGAAAAACTCTCTTGATTTCTCCTAGTGCTTTCTAGTAATTACACCAGTCCATTTTATCCATGTTCCTGATGCTTTCTAGGAATTCACCATCTGCTTTCTAACAATGCATTCACTGCTTCCTAGGAATTTCTCCACTACTTTCCCTTACATTCTAGAAATCCTAATACTTTCTAGGAATTCACCTGGTGCTTTCTAGGAATGTCCTGTCTGCTTTCTGTGAGTTTTCCCTGCACAGTTTTCCCAGGGTGTTCTAGGAATTCACACGCTGGTTTCTGGAGACGCTCCTGATGTTTTCTGGTACTCCCCCCCTCACTTTCTATTTATTTCTTGCAGCTTTCCAGAAATTCCTCTGTTCTTTTATGGGAATCTTCCCATCCTTTCTTGAACTCCCTGTCAGGGAGCAGCAAGAGGAGGGATGCTTGGTGAGGGAAGCTGTGAGCCCCAGCCCAGATGGGACTGGGACCCAGTGGACACATCTGGGGCCAGCAGAGCAGAGAGTGGCTGGTTCCATCACCCCAACCATGGCCAGACAAAGGCAAAGGAGGAAGTCATGTCCAAAGGCAGCCCAGGAAACCCAAATGAGTATTCAGGAACAGGTTTGAAACAGGCACACCTGCTTGGTGTAGCTCACACAGGCACATTTTGAGGATTAGGAAGCACCCTCATTTAATAACTTCTACATTCAATGTTTTGTAAAATAACCTCATTAGAAACTCAGTATTCCTATCAAATGACAAATTGCTTTAAATTTTTTGCACAAGAAATTCTGAAATGTTAAAATCAGAATTTTCCATTTATAATATATTACAAAAATGATTTAATAATGGGATGTAGGCAAACTGTTTCTCCTCCCTTCTGGAAAATGCAGAGAAGTTACTCTGATACAAAATTATTTAATCATAAACTTAATATAAAGGTATGGTTTCTCAGGTTGTACTTTCTTGTTTGGTGCATTACCTACATATTTACTGGTCCTACAACATTTAAACCATGCACTACAACTTCTTTTCTTCATTCCTGTTTAGTTCATGTGGTAGAAAATAATTGTTAAAGGTTCCACTACAGGATTCTTACACTTTCTGAAGTTTAAAGTTGGTTAGTACAAATATTTGATAGGGTTTTTACTACTACTGATGTGCCACTCAGTTTCTTTGCTAATTTTAGACAGCTGGCCAGCCAATGTTTTTCAAAATATGTTTGAGTGCCCTTGGATTCACACAGAGTCCAAGTTAATGTCTAGTGTGGGAGTGAAGAATGATTTTTAAGTCTTGTCTTGACCCTTTAGGTGTACCCTCATTGCATAACAAAACATGAGCCATATATCACATAAAAGCACATTTTTCCTAGGAGCTTCTATTACTTTGAATTTCAATATTTATTTTTTCATATTTAAAAGGTGGGGATCAGTTAGTATTTAACACATACACAGACAAGAGAACAAACCTTCCTACACATAATTTGCCAGCTGCTACACAAGCTGTTGATATACTTGCACATATAATTTTCATTGCTCTGTGTTGGGTACTAAAGGCTGGACATTCCTCACTACAAAATCACTACTAGAGACAGAATTTTCCTGTAGAAGACAGAATTATTCACTTCTCCTTGGTATCGAAACATATTGCAGTTGCTCTTGCAACTCAAATGGTGAAGCAGAAACTGGGACTCCACAAACTTACTGTGCCACTCACTCTGGTTAGTTGAGATGTGTTACACACTAAAATCATCTTAACAGGACACTTGTCAGCTTCTTTAGACCTCAGGCTCTGTGAACTGTCTAACCCACATCTGAGGTCCCCCAAACAATGGTAAGATGTGAAGCATAAATGTTCTAATGAAGGACTTTTTTCTCAAGTTTTGCACTGACTGTGAAGAACCTACGGGTTATTTCTTTCAACCTCCATTATAATATGAATTTGGAGTTTCTCTTCTGGGTATGTCCTACATATAAGAACATAAAAATGAAAATGTGCTACATGTAAAGTATGTACTTAAAAACTACCTGTTCTAATAATTTTAATGCTATATTCTTGGAGACAATTGTTCACACAGCTTATGGGAAGGGGTTTAAAACTGTTTATGTAGATCTGGCTTGTGAGTCATTCCTACTGATCTTTGCTACAGGTGCTCTAGGAGAGAAAAAATCTGAGAGACAATATCACTTCAATTCAGCATATATTTACAGCCATCTAGAAAACTGTGGTGTGGCTCAGTTTTACTGTCATCAGGCTCTTGATGTATTTGCAAAGGCAGTTAAGAAACTTTTCTTTAGTAAATACAATATCAAATTTCTAATAAAATCTAATTTCTTTGTATGCCACTTGTATCAGCCTACAGCAGACTCAAACCCAGAGCATGAGTAAGCCAAGGTGCCAAATAAGTTATGAAAAATGTCTTCAAGAAATGGAGACCATTTTGATAATGATCATTTGATTAATATTCTTCCGACATTATGGCTCTCCAACAAGGTCAGCAACACACCAAAAATCAGTGAAAGTCTGCAAAAGCACATAGACCTGCTACTGTTTTAATTTGCACTGTGGTAAGTCAGGAGAAAGCCTAATGAAAGCATTAATGTTGCACTAATGTAAAATCCATGTAAGTGAATGGAAAGTCAAGGCAGTATTTCTACTGAATTTTTCTTCAGAATGCCTACTGAGAATACTTGGAAGTTTCCAAAATGTACATGTGAAATAGCTGCCACACCTAATTTTTAATCCTCTATTTGGTGACTAATTTCGTATTCACATGATGAATCTCCATTGTCACAACAGAATAAATGTCCACAAACACACATGTGGGTATTTTCTGCTGTCTGCAGAATTCAGAAAAATGACGAGTAAACAGAACAGCATTTTTGGCGTATGAAGATGCCTGCCAGGATTTTGTACAAAACATTTCCTTGCCAAGCTCTAAGGCTTTCCAAAGTCAGAAACAAACCTCATAAAATAGTCTTACATAATTGCCAACCAGATTTTCTTTTTAAATATAATTCAGTCTTTGTATTATAGACAAAACCATTCTGTTTAACACGTGTCTTCTCATACCATCATGTTTGGTTACACAACAAGCTCCTGACTTAAAGACCACTGAAATCCATGGAAACATTCAAATTCATTACAAATTCAATCTTTTCCCATTTGAATTAGAAAGAGAAAGCAAGAAAATCTAATATAGTGTGGCCTTCTGTAGATGATCAGTGCAGCCAGTGGCAGATCTGAGAAGAACTGGGTGCTCCTTACCTCTCCCTAGGAGATATGGAGCTGGCCATTGTTTGCAACCAAGTGCTGCTGGTATTTGAACACTCAAAGGGGCTTTTGGTTTGCTTTCCCTGTCTGTTCTGCAATGTACCTGGAGGATGGAAGGTGGAGGGGTTTCTGTAGGCACTGGGAAACAACATGAGCTCCAGTGGTCTGAGAGGTTGCTCCCTTCACTGTAATAACACTGCACACACCTGTCAGCACACAAACTGAACCTTCAGCTGCATCTTTCCCAATAAAACCCTTCCTCCCACACAGTTCCTATCAGCTGAATGGTGATGCAAAGAACTTTCCAGGAGAGGTTCGTTTAAAGCAATGACTGCACCCTCTGGCTTCCCTTTTTTCTTTTACAGAATTAACTATTTGAAATCCTGCCAACTGAAAAGCATTTTATTGTCCCTACATTTTAAGGCAATTGTGTAAACATTTTGCTTCAATAAAAGGGTTTCTTAACAGCCAGCTAGGAAATCTCACAGTCCATTATTAATTAGCGAAAAAAGTATCTTATGGAGAACCTGGATTATCTGATTGAAAAAATAAAAACACCATAGTACTTATTTTTTTCAAATTTTGAAAGGCAGAGTTATAGCTCCAAAACTCACAGAGATACTTTTCAGAGGTACCTCTGCTCACCAGAATGGGAAATACATGCTCTATTTCATAGAATCACAAACTGGTTTGGGTTGGAAGGGACCTTAAAGATCATCTTGTTCCAACTCCCTGCCATGGTCAGGAATACCTTCCACTACACCAGATTGCTTCAAGCCTTATCCAACCTGACCTTGAGCACTTTTTTTTATTTTAAAAAATCCAAGATTAACTTCTCCACAATAACAATTACACCACGGTGATCAGTGATGAGGTGGTTTATGTTTGGACTTGCCTCTCAATAAATATTCAGCAATTAAGAAATTCTCATTTCTTCCTTTTTTAGTGGAAACAAGACAGCTTTTCACACATAAAGCTGTTCTAAGTCCAGGGCAAGGGAAAGAATTATGAGGCAGGAAGGACAGCACACTTTAAAATTAAGATTAATTTGCTGGGCCTGCTGTCCCTGTCTCCAGCAGTTGCTACAAAGCAGGCTGTGATGCAGCCCTGGAGCTTAGGAAGGGTAGGAAAGCGGTAGCAGCTCCATCTGGGTTCCTCCACAGTGCCAAGGAGAAGAGTGAGTGCAGCAGATGCAATCTAGGTTTTATATCAGCTGTTCCAGGTACCAACAGTAGCAGTGGCACAGAGCCCATAAGTCTTGTGGGAGGTCAAGTGACTCACCTGTGCTCCAGCCTCCCCCGTAGGAAGGTTGTGTGTGCTGCAGGCTGAGCTCCTGTCCTGCTGCACGGCACCTCCACCAGGGTGCAGGGAGAGCTGGGGAGGACCCCGGGAGATCCTCACTTGATCTCTTCCACTGGTTCCACTTTCGTGTGAGTGACCTGATGCCACCAAAAATTAAGAAAACCACTTGAACATTGACTCTCAGCATCAGTTAACATAAATTACAACGTGTGTACTTTATCTGCATATCTAAAATATAATCTCTTTAGGGGGACCTATGACTGATGTGACAACCTGAAAAATTTGTGGAGCAATTTCTGCCTGAAGAGTAATTGTGGCTGGGCCAGATAGTGTCCTAAACTTTTTAGTACAGACAGCTTTTCCCTCCATACAACTTCCTGGATGATACTCATCCCTTTGTGGAGCAACCTCTAGTTTACCACTTGGTCAGCGGATTAGGATAAGTATTTTTTCCTGTCTTACTCACCCTGAAGGAAGAGAGAAAAAACACCAAACAATAAAAAACAGAAACACATTCTCCTGATTATAGCAGCTTTCCAACATGTGCATTAATTATACAGGCAGTGGAGGTTATTCTTTCCACTGGATCCATGATTACTATCGCATGCAAAATATAGATTTCACAGAAGAAATGAACAGGCATTTTAAAAGGTTGGATTTAGGAGTTCTATATGGCTGAAAAACAATCTTCTTGTCCCAATGAATGTAATTTAATTAAGAAAATAAAACAGAAACAACAGAAAAGTAAAACGATAGTGAAAGAATCATTTTTCTCAGAGACAGCTTTATAAACAGAGTAGTTTCTGGAAAAGAAGATTTGGAAACATAAACAAGGAATCTGTCTAGTGTGTTGAAGAGAAAAGTGTTTTGCCTACATTTTTTGGTAAATAAAAAGGGTTTAACCAATTAACTATCTGGCTCCAGAATCAATCTCTTTTTGTCATGGGAACAGCTTGTAAAACCCTAACCGAACATACGGAGAGTGCAGGCTGGTGTCTAAAAGTTTCAATAAAATACTCAGTACTGCTATATCTCAGAATTGCATATTTGTCTAATTACAGAATGCAATAAATTGCTGCTCCCTCTTGTTTAAGAAGGACTGTGAAGACTGGATTGTAAGATATCCTTATTTGCCCTATCAGGCAATTTGCCAGTACGCTTCAAGTCCTTAACACAGTAGTCATTGGATTTCTGTTTTATAGGAACATTGAAAAGACCTATGGTAAACCAGAAAGTAATTTCTCTGTGTTTTCCAGCACTAGATTATTCTCTGGCCACCACTAGAACATATTCTGTAGGTTGTCCTTACAAACTAATCCCCTTGCCCTGTACTCATAACACTGGTTTAAAGGGAAGGACTCACCTCACACCCCAACATATAGAATCCTAGGCCAGAACCAAGGAGTAGAACCTCGACCCAGACTTCTTGAAAAGCTGGAATTGGGGCATTTACTTAGGCCCAGCATGAAGCTTTTATTTCCATTTATAATCTGGTACTGGATGAGTATCAGAGAGAGAGAAGGAGGAGGAGCTGGGGAGGGATGGGGGAGATGAAAACCAACATCTCTTGTGGACTCACACATGCAAACAAAAAACTATTAATTTTCAAGAAAATACAAGTCACAAAATAAAAAGAGAATGAAAACTTTGAGATACACAGAAAATGACAAGGGCAGCAAAATTTGTGCTAACAATTTAAAAACAAAAATTAATTTTTAATAAACCTAGAAGAAAAATATTTTCAGCAAAACACCAAGATGGGAAGCATTCCAATCAGCTGCCATTCCTGGCAGCATCATACTGCTCTGTGCACTGCTGAGAGAAGCAGCATCACCATTCCAGATGTCTGTCAGAATAGCTGTGTCACTCAACATGGTCCTGACTGACCAGATCTGCTGATGCCTCTCCAGTTCACTCATGGAAATTGGACTTTAAGCACGGTCCCTGTTAGAAACACAGGACAACTCTCTGGAGCTGCACTCAGTGCCTTCACTCCTGCGTGGGGACCTTTGGGAAGCCACAGAGAAAGATGTCCCGTCGTGCTGATTCAGCAAAAAGGCTGCACAGCATGAGCATGTCAGGTTTTAAAAGTGAAACAAGTACCATTTGTGCACGTGGGACAGCAGTGAAATCAAAACTGTCCTCTCCAAAGTCTTCCAAATAGACATTTCTGAGAGAGAAAGACTAAATTTAACTTGTTTCAACAATACCTGCTGAAAGTATTGTTGAAAGAGAACTTTCTCTCCCTTTAGGCTGAGAAGCATACCAGCTTCTCCATCTCCTGTGTATGAGCAACTCCATTACTTGCTATTAGAAGACTGTTTTTAAAACACCTGACAACATCAAGCTCTTTAGTAACAGTTTCCACCTGAAAATAGAATGCATTTATAAGAACTGACTTAACAAAGACACAACCATCCCTGTATTGTGTCTAGTTCGCAGATTGAGGAACTCAAGCCCAGAGGAATTAGGTCCACAAAGTTCCTCAGTATTAAATCTGGAATTAAAATTTAAATTCAGAAATCCTTGCCCATTGATGTACATTTTAATATTTCATGGACTGCAGTGGGACTCACCTCTCATGTTAGAACGTGACTTGCCCCGTGTTTCAGGGTGCACTGCTGTGACAGACAAATACGAGCTGACAGCAGAGTTTTTTAACAGCCCTGTTCAGGTGTTTTCCCTTCCAAATTCCACGGCGTTTGCAGGTGCGGCCATGTCGCTCCGCAGCCACTGGGTGGCACTTCACTAAGATTTTTTGGCTGGTCCGTGAATTTTATTGGTCATGAGACAACTTCGTTTCGTTCTCATTTCAAACCTTTTTAAATGAAAACTGGTGATGCCTGTTAATATTTCACGTAATTTAATAATTATTTCATATTCAAAAATCTGAACTCTTAAAACACTGTGGCAGAGATTAAATCACCCCCTTCACTCCAAGAGGGCAAATATAATCTAAATTTGTCTATCACATTTGCAAATTGGGATCAGAATTTCAGCCCCACAGAATCACATTTTTGCCTGTTTTGTAAGTCTGTTGCCATTTAGGGAGTTCCAGAACCAGGAAACTCTTGGCTCCCAGCACACACGGACAGCAGGGAAGACAAACATGAAGCCTCAGCTCTCATTCCCATTCTTCCTTGGCTTGGTTCATAGGATGAGTCAGAAATGAGGCATCAGAGAATGAAAAGCAGAGAAAGGAACACCCTGAGCAAAAAGGCAGTGTCACTTGCAGAGCACACAGTGGCATTTTGGCCTGCTGTAAGGAACAGAGATGCTGCCCTGCACAGCATTTATGGCTTAAAAGCTCAGTGTATTTTATCCTCAGGGTGATAACTCTTGGCTTTCTGATGCTTTTGACTTTGAACTTGGACTAAAAGTTCACCCTTGCAGAGGGTGACCCAGTTTGAAAAGCATTCTACTCTACAGCCAGACAGAAAGCTTTGCACCATTTTGGTACCACTATTAAAGAAAGCTGAAATCAAACTAGAAATAATAATCAGGGGAAAGCTGAGTCCACCTTACAAGAGGAGGGTCTAGCACCTTATCCTGATAGTACAAAGAATATGCTTGTTTTCCTTGAACACATCAGGGTCAGGAGTAAACACCTGAGCAGAGAAAACTGTCCCCACCTGAGCTATAAAAACTGTCCCCAGCTTGAAGTAGGGGACAGTTGAGAAATCAGAAGGTATTTACTTGGCAAGCCAGAGAAGTTCCCGCCAGGAAAGTGCAAGACCCAGGAATCTTCATTCATTGTTAAGCAGACCTTGATAGTTACAGCTAGGAGACAAATGATCCAGTGGCATCATCTATTCCATGCTTTCTCCTGATGACAGTTCAGCCACCACTGGGAAGTAGGGCTGGCTTGGACATTTATTGTTAACCCTAGGGTTGGAAGACAACAAAAACATAAAATATTGGGAGAATTTCTGAGGGCTGTAGAATTTTCAAAAGACATGCAGAATGAAGAGATCTTATGTTGCTTTTATGGTTTATTCCAAAATATCGTGCACTTCAAAGTACTGACTACACTAACTCTTCTGGGATGATAGTTCCACCCTAGCAGCTGTAAACTCCTTTCTAAAGAGTTAATTGTCCCGTTTGCCTCAGTTCAGCTGATTATTCTAGTTTCCAGTAATTAAGATTGCATTTCATGATTCTCAGCCTTAGTGAATTAATGTTTACAGTTTTGCATGCTACAAAAATAATACTTGTCATTATTTTAATTAAATTATTCATAAATGGCATTGGTTCCACTTCAGATGTATGTATAATGAGAACAGGACCAAGCAGACCCATCCGTCATCATAAATTTTGATGCATTTTTTCTGTTAATTGGAGATACATGGAACTGTTCACATTGGATGCAAATATTTTTAAATTATCTTCCTGCTTTCTGAAAAAAAAACCAACCCAACTTTTTTCTTCAAGCTAAAACAAGGAAATCATTCTTTATTCATCTTTACACCTCATTTCAGGCAATTTTTTTCCAGCCCTGACAAGGTTCTGAGAGTCTCCTTGCCCAGATGCCTTGGTGTGCTGAAAAACACACTGAGAATAATGAGGAGGCTGCTTTTTTCTCCAGTGCTGCCACATGTATGTTGTCAGGAGTGCAGTACAAAACAAGATTCAGTCTGATTCCTATCTTGTTAAACTGCTATCCAGAGCACATCCCAACATATGTAAATTTTACTTCTTTTATATTACTCCTTGCAGCCAGAAGAGTGACTATTTTAATAACACAGTTGTAAAGCAATGGGAAAATTCCATCATCCCACTGCGGCCAGTAGGGCTTATCCAATTTACACTGATGGAACAGAGCCATTTCTGACTCATCCAGGGAAATCAATGCAAATTTGACCCATAGTCCAAATGGTAAAACCTTTTGGGACATTTCCTGTCCTGCAAATTCATCATCTGACTGGTGGAGAACAGGTTAGGGCGATCCCATGCTTGGGTACACGAACCTCCACCTCACAACAGAGTCTACTTTGGGGGTAAGAAAAGAGACCTTGACAAGTCTGCAGCTAAAAGTGAGTTTGAGACCTGGCTTGTTGATTTGCTGTAGGACTGGGACAAAGAATCAGAAAAGCTTCCCCTGGTACAGTCAGAATGTGATGCAGGGATTTAACAT